ATAGTGTCTACAAAATCATTCTTTAACCTTCTTAGCAGTTCATAAAATAATAGTCGTTCTTAGAATCCATGATATCTTAGAGTTCATAGAAAAATTGTTGATTGTGGAGATTGACAAAATAGCCAAATGGCAGGAAATACTCTATAAATTAGAAAACGAAGGTAATGGTCACTTAAGTTTGCTAAGGAAAAAGTTGACATTTTTACTCGAGCTTTTTTTTTTGCCAGTGGCAGCATACATATCTCATTCACACCAGCTTATTTGAATGAAAAACCATGCATTAGTAGTAGGTTCTTTATCTCTCTATTCATATATTCATATACATTCATTTTAGAACATCCATTCAAATGCAAAGTGTGATTCCCTCATTCAAAACCCTTTTGTGGGGTCTCCACTAAGGTTCTGAGGGTAGTGTAAGAGATCCTTATTTCCTGGCTCTTGCCTTCTATTCCTGTACCATTTCTTCCCATTGCCCTGGCATGGGATCACCATCCTGCCTCTGGCTCCTATCTTTGCAGATCCCAGATTCCCTCTTGCAGTACTTTATATCATCTATTCCTTTTGTCAGCCAGGTGCATGAGCTCTCTGTGTTCCAAGCCTTTGCTCAAGCCTTTCTTCAGCTGTGAGGCCGGCCCCCACCCTCTCGTCCCTCAACTCAGAACTTATCAATTCCTTCTCTATGCCCCCCCTGGACTTTGCACTTTGCTGGCTGTTCTACTTGTTGCCTTGTAAGTTTAATATGTGATCGTTTCTCTTTATCCTTCACAAAGGACTATGTTATGCCCTGTAGTATTCAGTTCCCAGCCAAGACTTTGAAATAGAGTAAATACTCCTTCCATGTTTGTCAAATGAACAAAGAATGAGTGAATGTTGGAACATATGTGAGAGGCTGTTTATATCCTCCTTACATGGTGATAGATAGCATACCATATATACATATTATTCATGTGTTATGAGGCTAGCAATAGGTAAAATGATGGAGACACGATTAAAAATTAAAAAAAATAAAACGAGGCAAAATGCCTCTCTGTTACACTTTCCTTGGGGCAACTTTCTAGTTAAAGACAAATGTGGGGGTGCCTGGGTGGCTCAGTTGGTTAAGCGACTGCCTTGGGCTCAGGTCATGATCCTGGAGTCCCAGGATCGAGTCCTGCATCGGGCTCCCTGCTCGGCAGGGAGTCTGCTTCTCCCTCTGACCCTCCTCCCTCTCATGCTCTCTGTCTCTCATTCTCTCTCTCTCAAATAAATAAATAAAATCTTTAAAAAAAAAAAAAGACAAATGTGTATAATCAGCATAATATGAAATGAGAAATATAATAGTGACGTCAATTTTTAGCAAATGTAAGTGTGCGTTAATTTGCATTGGAATTGCTGCTTTCCCCCCCACAGGTGTTGTCTTTTTTCTTCACTGACCTTTGATTTGTGGCCCGTCAGACCAACAACTCCCCAATGAGTAATACTGTTTCATAAGAAATAACTAAGACTGAAGGTGCTTAGACTGTCACTCCATTTGGAAAACCTGTGAGGGCTAGATTTTAAAATACACCATGATATTCTCCTAGTGATTATTAATGAAGGATTACTCTCTATTCTCTAATTACTACAAATTATTTTCTTAAAATTATGCATGAGACTGTAGTGAGCTGTCAGTTCTGTGAAATGAGGAAATCAAACTCTAGTCACATCATAAGGGTCTTGACTCCTGGTGAACAATCTTACACTGTAGGGGATATATTAAGAATAAGGCAGAGGAAAATTAAAAAAAAAAAAAAAACAACCCTAAATGGGAAGGTGCTATTATTAGAGGTTAGGTGGGTTGTTTTTTTTTTTGGTTGAAATTCTATCAAGACTTTCTTGTCTGAATGTTCTTTGAAGTTGAACACTTTCTACTTACAAAAACTGGCCACTATAATTAGCTATGTTTCCATTTTAGTGGTGACCTCCTTCACCTTATCTTAAATCATATAAAGATGTAAGTCCATTCGTGAGATAAAAGGTTTACTCAAACCAATTCTCTGACCTGGATAGCATCAGTTTGGCAATCATAAACCCACAAAGAGACACCCTTGGTGCATTTTAAAGGCTATGTGAGAATTTATTTCTTTTCTATGGGAAGAGACCAGATTTTCTCTCACTTACACCCTAGAAGGTTCTTACAGAATGTACTGGAGTTGAAGAGGAAGAGGAAAAAAATAGCATGGTATTAAGAGAGGCGACTGCCAATTTTGGAGCGCGTACACACATGATATAAACAGCCGAGGGACGGGTGGAGTGGACGTTTAGTGGCATACATTTCCTGGTTATAATCTCAACTCTGCCACTTGCAGACCATGTGGTTTTGGACAACTGACCCAATTTCCCTCAGTCTCAGCATCTGTAAAATTAGATAATACCCTTTCTGTGGGAGTGTTAAGCATGAGGGAAAAAATGTATGAAACACACACTGTTTGACACATAGTAAACTGTTAGCAACTCTGGTTTGTAAATATTATTACAGCAGTTAATATCATTATAGCAGTTTCTTGACATTTTCCTCACAGCTAGGGATTGTAGCAGCATTTTTTACTTTTGTGTAGTCCCGTGCTTCGGCTGGGGTTGTTTGCTCTGCTGTGCTTTTCAACTTCTCTGTGTCAAGCTTTCATTGCATGGAGAGATACCAAATCTTTTTTTTAATTTAATTCACTTATACTTCCATTTTTTCTCACACTAAGGAAAAATACGCTAAAGAGTATTTTAAGTGAATTTAACTGGATTTACTACAGCTGACCCTTCAAGCAGTAATATTTGACCCTGAACAACTAACCTACATTTTATTTAATAAATTCACACCGCAAATAAATGTAGTGAGGTAAATTGTAGAATTTTATTTTCACAAATGGCCTTTGTGAAGTGATTTATCAAAGGTACATGTAATTAGATATCAGGTTCTCCAAAACATTGCCAAGAAATAACAACAAAGAATTTAGAGCTGAACGTGATTCTTTTGCCATTGCTCTATTTCTGTGGGACTAAGGGTAAATCTCATCCAGGTACTTAAACTCTTCATTATTTCATTGAAGGACAAAGAGATGACATTAGTGGTGATAGAAGGACATGCTAATAGGAAACATTTCTATAAAGGGAAATGATGTGACTTTGCAGTACTCATTCATCAGAGGACTAAATCTGGGGCTAACTTGATGGCCTGAAGAGGAAATATCTTACCTTCTGCAGGTGCAAACCAGGGACATTTCACAAGACGTGCCAACTTTTCCTCAGTTCATCTAGCAAGCACCTGCTTCAGATTCGGCTCTGAGTAATATCTGGGCTGCCCTAATGTCAGACTTGCTGCTGTTCATGTTCATTTGCCAATGAAAATTGCATGAATTAGAATGTGTTTATTTCCTAAGGGAATTCCTTGTGATAAAAAATGCAGTCTCCTAACTCTTCTGAATAGTAGCATCAGTGCATTGCAATCTTTAGAACTATTTATTTGGGATTGCAGAAGAGGGGCAGGGAGAGAAAAATATTAGTGTTCATCATTTGGCTGCATACCTGATACATCGGCAGAATTATTGACTATTTGTGATAATTTTCGGAAGGTATAGAATTTATACCGGGTGCGCTTATAAGCAGTTTTCAAGGAAGAAATACTCAATTCTCACAAAGTCCACGCTGAATTTGAACTCATTACAAGTTCACAAGATTTTTTTAAAATAACTTTTAGAATTTTTTTTTATCATTCAGAAAGTTCTTATAATTTTAGGTCCTGTTTTCCTCCGTAATTATTGTTCCTAAAGGTGGTGTGTGCATGTTCGCGTTGCACGCATACTCATCAAGGCACAGGGCTAGTCTTAATGTTATAGACACTTTTAACTCAAGTGCCCACCTTCCACTGGTATTTATTATAATGAGAGCTAAAGAAATGATCCCTTTCATGAGTATGTGCCGAACATGCATAAACTGTAAGACACCCTATTGTGCCCTATAAGTTACAGTGATTTGGGTTCAGAGGACTCCCTGCCCTGATGGGCTGAGAGAGAAAGATACAAATGGAGTATATAAAGGAAGCAGTGGCATGAAGACATGTACACACAGCAGTGCTGGGAGGCTCCAGGGTAGGGGAGGGAGGAAGGGAGATATGGGTTAATCAGGAGTTGCTATCTAGGGAAGATTGCCCAGGCCCTGACTGACGCCTGACATTGATTAATCGATATTCCATCCTAGTGTTTAACAAGTGTTTCAACCAAAAAGTCTTCTGTAATATTTAACTTCACTTCCTTCAGCTTCAATGTATGCACATTTGTTTTGTTCTCTCTTCAAGCCAGCCAGACAGTAGCCAATAACAGAATACTTTATATTCATATCTAAAGAGGTTTTTGTTTGTTTGTTTGTTTGGTCATTCTTCAGTCTTCTCTAGACTAAGGGGAAACAAACTTTTTTAAATAAATCGTTCCTCAAAAGGCCTATTTAATTTGACTGCTTAATAATTAATAAGCCTTGGCATGGTGCTTTAAGTGTTTACTCTTCGGAAAGAAGCTTAATCTTGACAGTGATGTGGTAAGAATTACTTGGTTTTATTTCAAAGCTGAATTTTGGATCCAAAGCCCAAAAGAATCCTGTTAAAATAAGAAGTTTGTAAAGTAAAATGAACGTTAGGATTACTGGGATTATTGGAGCTAACGATAGCATTTATCTATATTAATCATATTCGTAAGTCCTATTTCTCATTATTGCATTTGAGATTTATTTTTTTGAAAAACAAAGTTAGTGTTTGTGTTTCTATTTAGTAGTATTGGAGTAGAATTCAAGGAGATTTGGGATAAATATTTTCAACTTTACTATGTTCCACAACGACCTCTATTTCTTTTCTCTGCACCAAAGCTACCTTTTTGTGCCCCGATGTACCATGCAGAAATTGATCCGCAATACATGTGGAGTCTCCAAGGGTATATTTAAATTTAGTAATTTTATTGCCAACTGTGAAGTTAATCTGCACTGTATGTGTTCCCTTTCCCCAGGAAATTGAAGTAGCAGTTCAAGCTAAACAGCCGGATGTGGAAGGGATTTTGTCTAAAGGGCAGCATTTGTACAAGGAAAAACCAGCCACCCAGCCAGTGAAGGTAATGAAGCAACCTCTAGCAATATCCATTACTTCATAATGGGTTATGCTTCCCCTGTTGTACATTCGCCATTGACGTGGTCTATTTATAATCAATGAAATAACTTGTAAAGAAATATTGTCCATACCGCAATAGCAGAGGCTGAGCTGTCTTTTTGATCAACATATCCTATTCATATATTTGTGATCTTAAGGCTATTAACGAGTCATTGCATTAAAGGACTCATTTCTGTCCTGGTGTGCTACCATCAATGCAGAAAGTGGTCCCACCTTCAAGGTAGATTAAATTCTTTGAGGCTTTATTGCTTTGCTTGCCAGCCTTGATGCTTTTCATATTGTTTGGCTTAATTCGAATCAAGCTACTGCATCATACTGTCTGTCTCCAACAGCTGTAAAGAATCACAATATGGTCCGTGACCTTTCTTTTCTCTGTGACACTCTTTTCTTATGAAAGAGGAAAATTGGCATTCAGGCTCTAGTACTTTATTGGGTCAAGAATTTTTAGTGAAATGTCTGTAATTGCTTCTCTCTTTGGTAAAAAGCTGTCCAGGGAGAAAGGTTTCTCCTTCTTTCCTTTCCTCATGTACATTTTGAAGTCTGGGACACATTTATTCACAGGCTATTACACGAGGAGAGAAATGGAGAGCCAGCTCAGTTTTCGAAAAATAGCTAATCAGTGGCTTCCATTTGCAAATGAGAATGCAGTGATAAATAGACGTTAGGTATAGGTTACCTTATTTTCTCTACCTGACCAAAATTATAATGTGTCCCATTATGATGGAGGTTCCCAAGAGCCTGGAACGGTGGCTGTTTATTGATCAGTCCCGGTTTCTCTGGCTAACATTGCAGGCTGAGATTTAGTGAGCCTCGCCCTCATGTTTAAAACTGCTCTAAAACAGTACAGGTCAATAACCTCATTATACAGAACTAGTTTGTCCTTGCAAACAACATTACCATGACTTAGACTCTGTCTCTAAGGTCACTGATTATGCTTGGCCCAAGCTTCATTTCTAGAAAATTGTTTGTTTTTCTTTGAGTTTACAAGGGGCCTTTCCTTAGGTAAATGTAAAGTTTTAGTCTAAACATACAATGTCCAAACACCGGATGCTAAAAGGCACAGATTTGTGTGTAGAAACTGATAGACATTTATTCAGGAATACCTTGTTACCGTTCCTAGTATCCAGATAATAATAATAATAATAAATAATCATCATCATTTGCATCCAGTTCCAAGGCTGGTATGATAATTTTCATGGAGCAACACTGTGTTCAGTATTTAGATTGAAGAGCTGGAGAAGGTCCCAAAAGCAGCAAATTTCAGGGTTTCTGCTGATGCTCTGACGAAAGCCGGTCCCTAAGCAGACACTTTCCTTGGTTAACAGAGTGACTCTCCTAGTAAGCAATGAAACAAACAAACGGACCATTCCAGAGGTCTACTCTGTCTACTCTTGCTTGCTTCTCAAAGACTTGATGCAGGGTTTGGCACACTTGTTACACATTACAGATATGCACTGAAATTGTCTTTCACTTCTCTGCCTTTGTTAAAAAAAAAAAAAAAAAAACAGAGGGAAAATTCTTAATTGAAAGTCAACGAGAAAATTTTTATCTTAATTATATGTAAACAATCCAAGCAGTTGATGCTAACATCACACCTCCCACTCAAGCCTTCAACTCCTGGGCCACTTGGAGATCAGAACCGTGTCTTAGTGAGCATTATCTACTTTCTGCCTTCGCATTACTGATATAAAAGGGGAATTAGCTTTCTGAAATAAAAGGAAGAGCAAGGAGGTGCTAACTTTCCTTCTCATCTGCATTCCTTAAAACCATTTTGTAGAGTGAGCACTTTCTTTCCTTCTGGTCTCTCTCTCTCCTTCCACATTTCCTTTTAAGTCAGCTCATTTTGGAGACCTAGAACTTAAGTGAAAACTCATTCTGGTTCTATCATTTATCCCTTGGGTTTCGAGGAGAATCAACCTATCAAGTTGATAGAGGCAGAAGGGCAAGATTGACTTGGGAGAGTGGGGGTGTGGAGAAATAGTTGATTCACATGCAACTTTTCATATGGACCATGACCTTGGAAACACCTGAACATGAGCTGGGGTTTGTGGGAGCCTGAAACACTAGAGGCTCAGAAACCACCTCATAGTTCAGGATATGGAATCCAGCACAGCAAGACGACAAGCTGTAGAGACTGTTTAAATCTCTGCATGGATCAAAAACCTCTTTTTCAAGGTCAGGGGATGATTTTTCTGACGTGTGATCCATTGCTCTGAAAATACATACATAAAGCCCCTTTCAATTTTCATTTTATATATCCAGGTTTAAAAATTGTGCTATTCCTAACGCCTTTTCTCCTTAACATCCAGGTTTCTCACCCCTTCATAGAAGGGAAAGGGGTCTGAGTAGCCTGTAGCATATTTTCATGAAAAAGTTTGGTTCTGTTTTGGGAGGAAGATTCATTTGGAAATGATAAGTTATGGAGAAGAAAGTGATATATACATATACGTACACACATACATAAGATCTAGTGTTTAAATGGATAATTAGTATATCCTCCGCTTACAGACGTTCTAATTGAGGACATAGCAGAGCATGATTCTGTTTCTTAGGAAACTGTCTATTGGCACCTCCACACGCTGCATCAGACAGCCTGTCTGTCCGGCTCCTGTGCTCACCTCCCAAGCTGAGTTCTCTTTGGGAGCTGGCCTCATCCCTGTTGAGTTTTTTTCCCCTTTTCCCTCACTTCATCAAGTTCTCTAGGATTCCTTTAACGTTCAGAGATAGTAAATTTTTAGTTTCCTTTTTTGTCATCCCCAACTAACCCACTTCCTTATTTTCTTTGAGAATTTCCCGTTAAAGGTCAAATATATTGTTACGAGACAGTTCTACTAATGACATAAACGTAGCACTAGATCTCTGATGCAAAATTACTGGAAAATTTTTAGAATAATGTGACTGAAGAAATAAGCATTCTTGTTTTGCTTTCTATCTCCTCTTTCTCCCCCCTACACATGCTCATGCACACACACACACACACGCACAGTTTTCTTTCATTTGATTTGTATCTGGTTCCTTCATCTTCCGAAAGTGAAGATGAGTCAGATAAATTAGATAAATTGTTAAACATTTTGCTTAAGTTATCCCTTTGGTAATAATATTTTATGATAATGCTGCTGATGGAATCTTTTTTAATACATTCCACTTTCCACAGAGTAATTTTGCAGTTTAAAAGCAGCAATTACAACTGCCATCAGTAACAACAATATTGACAACCACTAAAAAAAAAAAAAAAAAGGCAGTTATTTGGTTTTTAAGGTGTTTTCTTTTTTAACTCTCTCTTGAACTAAAGCAGTTAGAAGACATTTTCTTCTATTGATACTCGTTCTTTAACTCAACGTGCAACCCTACTCTTTCTATTAAAATGTTTTCAATGTGTATATGTATTTTGGAATACTTATATCAACTTCTGTATATCAGAAGTGAGAGCATCATTGAAATTTAAAATGTCTTGGTTACTTGCTGAAGTGATGAGATGAAGACAGCTGGTTTGCTTTGCTAACTTTTTAGATTATAAAAACAAAATCTGGTTACCATGAATCTAATGATATATTTTACTAATGTTCTTGAATTCCTTTTTAAATGTAACAGAAAACGTAAGGTGTTCAGGGCCTTCTGGATTTGGCCGAAATGTTCCACCCCATCCTTTAACACAAAAGAATTGCCATAGACGAATGGTCAAGAGGGCAGTTATAATCTCCCAGGCATCATTTCCTCAAATAGTAGCTGCAGAATGACAGCATCATTAGTCATTTTCAATTAAAGTCAGTCACAACCAGGGATGTTTCATTTTCCCAGCTGTTTTGTTGTTAATTAACTAGATTAAGCTTGTTTTTTCCCAGCAAGTTTGTTCTACTGCTACTATCAACATCATAACATTTCCAAGAACTTCCTTAGGGTTTATTTGTTTGCCTGATAATTTTTAATACATTGTGACAGATGTGTGTCTGAAGATTTTTAGATGGTATAGCAGGTTGAATGGTGTGTCTTATTGGTCAAAATCTTGCCTAACGAAATATTACATTTATAACAATATTTGGCTTTCATACATGCTCTGTCAGGCACATGATCTAGTTTATCTGGTGCAATGTTTTTTATAACATCAGAAATCAGTAGAGAGATAACAGTCCTAAGTCTGTCCCCCTGGAATGAATAGGTCCATTTTGACTCACGCATTTGGTGAACATAATTTCCATGTCAGTGCTTATAGAAAAAGTTGGGAGAAGAATACAGAAAGAAAGTAACAATATTGGAGATATTTGATAATTTATTAATACATGAGTAGCAGACTTTCTTTTTTTTTCAGAATTTCATTTTTTAAGCATATAAGTTAGGTTTACAACTGAGGAAAAGTCTTTGACTGTGAGAGGCTGAATAAATGCTAATTATATATGCTTGAAAATAAGGAGAGCCCCACCTTCCCACAGGGAAAATAAGATTTATAATAGATTTTTGAGCAACTTATGAACATTTAGGAATGAGAATGAGATTGCAAATGTCGGATTATATTTAATTTCTTAATTGAACAGCATTTCCATCTTTTAAATCTCATTTTACAGAATAACTCACTTTTGAGAAATATTGCTTTTGCCGTGTTATATTTTATGAAACAGGTTCACTCACACTCTTCATATGTATATTCCAGAATTCTAGAGCTCACCATCTTCCTTCTAAGTTATTTGCAAAATGGAAGGCACAGTTTGAATTCCCGTATGATGCCATTAAACCTGTCCATCCGAAGACTACTAGGAACATACCTATAATGAAAAAGTTAGGATTTTTAGCTTACCGCAGCAAGGGAGAAATCTTTCCAGGGAGACTGTGGGGCATCTCAGTAAGAGGGGGTTAGAAAGAGCTGCTTATGGGGTTCGGTTGGCTAGATGATTCTCAAGAGGGATTAGGGAAATGGAAGCCCATTTGGATTAGATGCTGTCAACAGAGTCAGTGTGGTGATTGGGTATCTTTAATTGGGTGACTTAATAATGATTTTTATCTAGAAGGTGAGGGGATTGAAGCGGGACAGAGCTGTGACTGTTGAAGTAGCAGTGCTTTATATTAGTCCTTTTTGTGGTGGCAGAGTGGCCTCATCTCTGTATTGTTGACACATGGCCCTTTTTTTTTTTTTTACTTTTTTTTTCCAGCTTTTTTTGTTCACAATAATACAAACAAGACAGAAGAGACATTATGAGGGCTCTAATAATATGAGTCAACTCATGTCTGAGGAAATACTTGGAGGGAAGGTCTCACTTGAGGCTTACTCAGTAGCTTGTGCTGGAACTGGGCAAGCATTTAGAGATTTGAATTTCACTCCTGGCCCCCAGTTGTATTAACTGCATTCATAAAGATAGACATAGAGACATATATGTCTCAATTACAACATTCACATGCATGTCTGTGTACATAGAGCCATGGGTGGATTCAGTTATTTATGTGGCCAATATTAATTTCTTGCCAGATACTGACACAGGAGAAACATGTAAGATTTTTAGATTTGGAAAATCCCAAACTCGCATGGAGTTTAAAACTGTATTCTGTTTTAAATTTAAAAAGGAAAGCTATACTCTGAAATCATTTTTTTTTCTTATGCTTATTTTCTGCTCTTGGTAAAGAATAAATTTCACATTGTTTGAGATAATTGTCTTAACATTTAATGATTATATACAAGCAGCTTTTATATCATGGAACATAATGCTCAGCTGCAAAGGTCCCCTCTAATGAAACTCAGTTTACCATTTTTAAGAAATGCTCTCCAAGTTTCTCCCTCTGGGTAAAATAGGAATCTCCTACGATGGCCGATTTTTGAGGGGCTCTTGTGGGGAAAGCCTGGGGTCTGCAATGGACTTAGCATGTTCAAAATTTTCAAATTCTGGAAATCTAATCCAGGAATGGGACTTGATCATTATTATCCCCACTCATTTTATATTTAAAGATGTTGAAATTTAGACATATATTTCATTCCCTTAAATCTGGTTGAAGAGTATTAACATGGTGAAGAAATCATTACCTTCTATAGATTTGTACTGAGCCCTACTTCAAGTTCGTTATGTGAGGAACGCTGCATTACTCACTGCAACCAAATGTGTTTTCCTACCTGAAAGGAGTTGACGGCCTGATAGCAAAGATGGGAGAGTAGAAAATTTGGGCACTTGCCAGAGGACCAAAAAGCAAAAGCAAACCAGACCAACAAACAAAACTTCTGTAATACATAGATCATCAAATTCAACTCTGAAGTACGTGCGAGACTTAAAGAAGTTGAGAGAATATTTTTGTCACCAGCTGAATCAAAATCTATTGCTAATCATTATGAAAGTTTGGGGAATATACAATTCTGAGCTTACTGCATTTTTGACACCGAACAGGGTCCTCAGATGTTTGTGGTACATCGGGGGCTCTTCTTCATTTTTTTAAATTTCTGCATTTGAAATTATACCCATTGAAATTTACCCATCTGAAAATAACAGTGGGCAAGATAACATTCGAATAAATGAATAGACTGTTCTGAATGTATATATTAATAAAAGGGAACTGAATATATAAACATGGTATTTTTAGGATAACCAAAACCTTGTTCTTTATGCATTGAAATATTTTTATTTTAATATTTTAATGCAAATTTTTATTGACCATCTTCTGTTTTGCTTCATTAAGTAGTGCATAATAACTAACCAACAATTTGATAGTACTTTGCAGTTCATGGAGTTCTTTTCTCATCAAATATCTCATTTAGTTTCTCCAACAAAGCTATGAGTCAAGTGGTGGTGTTATCTCCACGTTTCAAGGATGATAAATCTGAGTGACCTATCCGATTTGCCAACTATCATGTAAGCCGTAGCAATGAGTTAAGGCTGAAATCTGGGACTTCTAATTCTAAAACACGATGGAATTGAAGCTTTTCCTTATTTTCAGGAGCATCGTTATAAATGTCAATTACCATTCTGTTTTGTTGTGCACTGATGCACATGGAATATGAAGTTTAATACAATTGAGAGCCAGATGAAATAGTTTGCTTTTAGAAGCCAGATTGTAAGATAACTACATATCTTTAAATATTAGAAGCAAACTCAATGCGGTGAGAGGCTTACACTATGAGAAGAAAGTTGAACCTAAGGCTATCGTAGGAACAGAAAGCTCCCGTCTCTCCTTGGCCACACTGGAGCCATATGCTCATTGAGTGAAAGCGAGGGCAGATGCCAGCAGTATTGAAATCAGTCTGTAATCATGCAGTCTCTTTGTCTCAGCACATGTAGGTGACTTCCTGTAAGTTAAATGATGTATGATGAGACCTCACCGTATGTTGCCCTGTTAGCCCTTCCAGAAATGACCAAGACCTCTACATTTTCTCAATATCTACTTTTATGTTTATTATCTCCTCCCTATTATCTGTTGCTACTTTTTGTTATCAGCATGGTTATTCTTAATATTCTGTCCTTGTGAAGTCACTGCAACTTTGCAAGGGAAACAGGAGACCAAATCTGTATTAATTCATTAGCTTTTTTATAATATTTAATTCTCAGCGTTTAGCTCTGAGATCAGAATAGAAAAATATCTTCCACATGACGTGACTTTCAATGGTAGTATTCCTCACTGATCAGAGGTATTGTTTGTTTCCTTTTGGATTCAAGACTTATGTTTCAATAAATAAAGAGTTATATTCATTGATGTGATAATAAATGTTTCACAACATGCACTGTGGACTAAAAAAAATTAAAAGCCCTGGTTTGCTGTCATGTCAGACACAATAGACATAAGGAACCTCAAGAGCAGAGATGATATAAATTAGGAAGTGATGAATTTTTAGTATTTGTTTTAGGACTTATTCCCTTGGCAGCTTTTGTTAAATGGGATTTCTTTTGTTTTTTTTTTTAAGATTTTATTTATTTATTTGACAGAGATAGACACAGCGAGAGAGGGAACACAAGCAGGGGGAGTGGGAGAGGGAGAAGCAGGCTTCCCGCGGAGCAGGGAGCCCGATGCGGGGCTCGATCCCAGGACCCTGGGATCATGACCTGAGCCGAAGGCAGGTGCTTAACGACTGAGCCACTGAGGCACCCCTTAAGTGGGATTTCTTAAGAGAATTAAGTGCTACAGAAAATGACTTAAGGACCAATTTTCTTATTTCTTTCAAGGATGGTGCATATCCAGTCGATTGTCAATGCTTAGATAACTCATTGGGTATAATGATCACCGTAGGCTTTGGTTCTGGACAATCAGCATCAGCATCAACTAGAAAATTGTAAGCAGTGCAAGTTCTTGGGTCCCACCCAAGATCTACTGAATCTAGAACTCTGGGGCTGGGGCCCAGCTCTCAGTGGTTTCACACAGCCTCCAGGGGACTCTGATGATCCTAAAGTATGAGAACTGCTGCTCCAGGGCATTAGGACTAATTCTCTACCACCACTCCCCTCCCCGCCAGTCCACTGAAAAAGTTTTCCCTAGGACCTTAGACTTCTTTGCTTCCAGCCAGCAGAAAGGGTAGAGAAGCCTCACAGATTCTTTAAAAGCCTCAGCCCAGACCTGACATCTATTACTTCTGTTCACATTCCACTGGCAATAACTAACCATATGGCTAACCACTGGTGTACTGGACTCACCTCCTATCTGCTCATCAGGGTCTTTTGTCAAATTTTCAGGCTTTTTGTGAGCCACTTGCCATCTGGGTCAAGGGAAACTGGCTATGGTGGGAGTATTGCCACCCCAGAAATTGGCAAACACGAAAATTAGGATTTTTTTTTTCCAGAGAGTCAGTTGTTATACCAGCACGCTGCTGGTCACATACAGGCTTGGTGACTCCACGGGGAGCCCTGCAGCTGAAATGACACTTCAGAATTGTCCTGCTCTGAGCAAAATGGGCCGAGCCTTTATACCCTCACCTTGGTCATTGAATGAGGGCTGCCCTGGGAAGGGCTTGCTCTGCAGCTGAGATAGTCCCTGAAGGACCACTCTGCCATCTTTTCCACCATTTGGGACAGGAGTCCTTCCTTGAAGTGAACTCTGAGTGTCCTATCCCCATGTGTACCCCAGCCTCTCCCTTTGAGAGGTGCTAATATAATCGATCTGGGGTGAGCCAGGACATGACGATATTTTTTAATGTTCTCTGGATAATTCTTCTATGCAACCACACTAGATACTCTTCAAGAGGGTCAAGACAGTTGCTGAGATGACAATGTTTTTTGTCTGCGTTTGTTTTCTATTCATTAAGGTTTGCGCTCTACTTCCTTTAAATGAAATTGTGCCTGGATTTGTAGGGTGGTTGGCTAAAATAATTATAATACCTTTGAAAGGAGCTGTACCTAGAAAAATTAATTTAGAAGTAAAATACAATAGAAATACAATAATGTATTCACAAAATGAATTCATAACAACATGAGTTATCTTCAAGACGTTAATGAAATAAATAACACCTATGCTTTTCTTTTCAAGAGAAAGCTGGAAGATCTGAGCTCTGATTGGAAGGCGGTAACCCACTTACTTCAAGAGCTGAGGGCAAAGCAGCCTGGCCCAGCTCCTGGACTGAGCACTGTCGGAGCCCGTAAGTATGCCCGATCACATGCTGTTTGGCGGCAGCCATTTCAGAAGCACAACAGTGAGGTGATCTCTGGATATAAGGGAAAATCGGCTGCAGTTATGAAAATAGGAATAAGCTTTAGTGTTATTTACTATGCAAAATGCCTTAGAGCAGGTTCCTTGGAAATGGACTCTGATTCGGAGTGCGGGATGACAAAAGTATATTGGGGTGTGTTCTCCGGAGCTACACCTATGACAAAGAAAGGTACAAGGGAGTAGACGATGGAAGAGGCTGAAGGGTCATTTGACTGTAATAGAGGGAGCCTGAGAGTGGGGCTGACTCTGCAGGCTGTCCGGATTGGCAAGGAGAGGGATGGCCTTTGTATTCCTGAACCAGCCAGTCATTGCCCATTTGGGGGCTGCCTAGTGGGGTGAAAGGGAGACCTTGAAAGAGTATTTCTGGGGCTGAATTCCTAGTGAGGAATACCAGCAACAACCAATACTCCCAGCAGCAGGGATGGGTGTGTTGTTCCTGAAGAGGGGATCAGGGTGGGGTACCTGAGTACCAACTAACGCTAGGTACGTGAGGATTCTGTCTCAGTGAATCCTCTATCATTTGGACAGTATTCTTCAAATATGCCGATGCAAATCGCTGAAACCACAGGAATGCACATGGTCCTCCTGCCCCACCCCCATCCCTTTGGAAAACAATTTTAAGAGCTCTTCCATGTTTGGTTCAGGAAAAAGAAAAGTAGACCCTGACTACCAAAAGCAGACTAGGGAAGGAATGTTTCTTCATTTAGCCCAGCTTTGACTTGTTTGTCCTGAATACTTTCAGTTTATTTTACTTCACTTTTTATTCATCTGTTAATGGAAGGTATGCATAAAATCTCGTGGCAGTGTTAATGCTGGCTTTGGATCTCGGGAAAGGAACCAGAAAACTTGGCTGTGCTAGTTCTGTAATTAGGCAAAATTAAAAACATCTTGGGGGCGCAGGAGGGGGTGGTGGGGGTTGGGGGGGCGTTGTTTGTATTTTTGCCTTGTCTATTTTTCAAAGATCAAATGATTGAAGTATTAAAGCCTGGTGACTGGTTCTTGAAGTAAAGATGATTTTTATTTTATATCAAGTAGAAATAAACCACACTGGTAATATCACACCCTGGGGAGCACACTGATAATTCAATAGAAGGCATAAGTAGCGTTTGGGTTAAAAGAGGTCATAGAGGGGGCGCCTGGGTGGCTCAGTCGTTAAGCGGCTGCCTTTGGCTCGGGTCCTGATCCCAGGGTCCTGGGATCGAGCCCCGCATCGGGCTCCCTGCTCCGTGGGAAGCCTGCTTCTCCCTCTCCCACTCCCCCTGCTTGTGTTCCCTCTCTCGCTGTGTCTCTGTCCAATAAATAAATCTTTAAAAAAAAAAAAAAAGAGGTCATAGAATCTAGGGACAGTGTGTCTCGTGTGTCCCCTGGGGTTTCTGAGTCCTCATCAGAGTTCCATTTCATGACATTGGAAACTTGAAAAAAGATATGCAAGCATTCTTGTTTTGTTTTGCTTTTGCTTTGTTTTGTTTGGTTTTGTTTTGTCAATCTGGGACACTAAAATTGCTATGTCAGCGTTTATCTTCAAGTAATTGTATCAGGCTTATTTCTTTTTATGACCTGTAATTTTTGGTTCCCTCAGCACATATGCATAGCTTAGTTCCTATATAATCATTTATTGGTGTTTGTTCTCTAGCTTTCTCTGGTATGTTCAGCCTCACTCTGTAACTCTGTAAAAAGATTGGGCTCCAATGATCTGTTTATAAGTTTGTTGAACTCTGAACATAATTATGGGTTTATGCTCCTACTTAAGCCACTTTACACATGGTAGGAAGCTTGTTAAGCGAGGGCATGGAAATCTATTTAACCTATAAAGTACCTAAATGTAACAATAATGTTTGTAATGGAAAATGCATTTCAAATTCCAGTATGGATTTCCAACAACACAGGTAATTTATTCACTTGTTAAGTATTTATTGAGTAATTTTCGTGTAGTGGGCATCATACGGGGTGCTGAGAATAATAAATCAAATAAGGTAATCTCTCCGTTCATGAAACGTGTACTCTGACTGGAAGAGAATAATAATGAGCTAATAAAGAAGAAAAATAGATACAATCTCGATACTGTCAGGTGTTCCATAGTGCAGTCTATAGATTGACATCAAATGGGCACTTGTTAGAAATGCAGAATCTCAGGCCTTACCCCAGACCCAGTGAATCAGAATCTGCATTTTAATAGGCTCCCCAGGTGATTCGGTGTACACACTGAAGTTTGAGAAATGCAGTTAAGGAGAACAAGAGACCAGGGTAGGAGAGAAAGGGAGTGGGAATGAAGACATAATTGTCTGTAGTTTGGTCAGGAAAGCTTTTCTACTAAGAGAACATTTGAGAACATCAGGAAGCTGATAGAAGTGAGGAGGTGAGCTATGCATTTATGTGGGGGAAACTATTCTAGTAGGCACAGAGAGAACAGAGCAAAGGCCTTGAAGTAGCGCAAGATGGGGGAATATCAAAAAGACCAGTGATACCAGAGCAGAGGGCGAGGGGACATGTGGCCGAAGCACTGGGTGACAGCATCTTTCCCAACTCCTGCCCTACTTCCTTCTCCCCCACCTAAGAGTCCCACCTCCCCCTACTCCCTCCACGTTGCTAGTAGGGAGAGTCTGGGAATGCCCTCAAGCTCCAAGCCACTGGGGAGAGCTGGTGGAGTTGGTATGAGAGCTGGAGAAGAACTGAGGGAGAGAGGAATTTTCTCAAAAGCAGGGGCTTTTCATCCCCTGTAGCAAACTGAAGCAACGCTGGGCATAAAGCAAAAATGTGAAATGCACAGTTGAATGAAAAGCATCAATAAGGAGGCTGGTAGATCCAGAGCCGCTTTTATTCAAATGGAACATTCTTCTTTCTTTAATATGGTGGTTTAAACATCAGAATTAAGAATTATTTATATTCCTGACTTCCAGAAAGTTAATCGGGAATAAATACAATATAAAAAAGGAGAATCTAATTTGTAGGATACTTCATATATATGATTATTACCTCATGGACTATGTTGTAATACAGTATATTTTTAGAACTCATCATAGCAAGTTTTCTCCATTGCACTTCTGCTGTGCTACTCACTTTTCCATATATGCTTTCATCTTCAAAATAATTGCAAAATACATAAATGTGCAATTTTTATAAGGTGAATATCCCACGGCTTGGAGAGGAAAATAGCTAGATTAAGACCACACAGCTGGGAAGAAACAGAGCCAGGATTCCAATCCAAATATGTCAGGCTCCAAAGCCTGTGTTTTGTTTTGTTTTGTTTTGTTTTGTTTTTTGCTGTGCCTTGCACTATCTCTCCGTCCAAGAAGCTAATGGAAATTCTAGATATGGAAACAGCTAGCCAGCAGTTAATGTTATTTAACTCAATCTTGGATGTATGAGGAATAAAAGTGAGATATGTTGCTGTGTTTTTTCTACTTAAGGAGTAGAAGAAATCAATTTATTCTGTTTGAATTTCTTAGAGCTATTGAACTCTGAACCTGGAATAATCATTGAAATTTTCATCTGGCTGAATATTTTTTATGTGTGTAGAAACTGAGGCCCCAAGGGCTTTTTTAAAAAATACTAAACTAAGCTCCCTTATGGCTGCCTACTTAAATTATATAATATGATAAGGCGATCCTGCCTGAGCCATACAAATTGTTTCAATTTATAAGATAAATAGGCATGCTGGAAAAAAAAAAAAAAAAAACTTTTTTACAGTCACTGTTGCTTGGATAGCTGAGTGTATCAGTTACCTGTCTCTACATAAAAGCACCACAAATGTAATGGCCTAATACAAAAGGTATTTACCTGCTCATGATTCTGTGGGTTTGCAGTTTGGGCTGTGATGAGCCAGATGGTGATTCTGAAGGTCTTGCTAGGGGTCGCTCATGGGCATGCAGTTCTCTGGTGCCTTAACAGGAGCTAGATAGTCGAAAACGGACTCACTCAAATATCTGATAGCCAGGGGCACCTGGGTGGCTCAGTCAGTGAAGCGGCTGCCTTCGGCTCAGGTCATAATCCCGGGGCCCTGGGATCGAGCCGCGTGTCAGGCCTCCCCGCTCAGTAGGGGATCTACTTCTCTCTTTCCTTCTGTCCCTTCCCCCCACTTGCGCTTGCTCTCTCACATGTCCTCTCTCTCTCTTAAATAATAAATAAAATCTTTAAAAAAATTATCTGCTAGTCGGCTGTTGGCTGGAGAACCTTGGTTCTTCACAAGGCCTCTCCTCCAGTAGGCTGGACCGGGCTTTCATTGTATGGCATCCTCAGGACAGTGTATCAAGAGGGTGAGAGCGGGAGCCACAGGATTTCTTGACACCTAGACTCTGGAATTCATACAACATCACTTCTGCTCCATTCTGTTGGCAGAGCACGTTGTGAGGCCAGCCCAGACTCAGGGAGTGGAGAGATACACCATCTCTTGAAAGAAGAGCTGCAGTGTTATTGCAAAGGGGCTGCATACATGGATGGGAGATGTTATCGGGGCCCTCTTTTCACACAAGTGACATTGGGGAAAAGTGGGGAAAGCCAAGATAAAAGTCCTGGTCTATATCCATTGTCCTATGCCAATGGTTCTTGAGCTTTACCTTCATGAAAATCACCCATTTCTCATTAAAGCACACATTGTTAGGCTTCCACCCCAGCGTCACTGAGTCAGGAGATCTGGGGTGAGGCCTGAGAGCTTGCACCTCTCAGAAGTCCCCAGGTGGTGCTACTGGTCCTGGGGTTGCACATTCAGAACTACCAGCATGGGCCTGAGTGGTGACAGGAAGGAGTTCATCCGTACTCCTGTGTGCAACGTGGAGCAGCATTTGAGTGAGATCCAGCGCTGTGGATGCCAGAGGGAACTCCATGATATTTTAGCACCTCCACTTCTCTCCCCACCCCCACAAACTCTGTAACTTGAAAGTTCAAGAAGATGGACTAAGCACTAAGCCCAGGCAGCTTTGGCCTAGCCGAGCA